AACTTTAACAACCTGCCACCTTCACCTGGAGAGTGAGAGTGTGACAACACCAATGAAAGAGGAAGTGAGGAATTGTTTGTTTGTTCATATATTTTATTATTACATTCAGAACGGAATGTTACAGAGGACATGTGTATAACATCCTCAGGTAAGGGACATTATAACCAAGGATATTGACTGGTCAATAGAGTATGTAGTTCAGGATCTCAACACAGCTGGCGCTGCACTATCTCATTTAGTTTCGATACTGATTCATTCAGATTGAGACACCGACGTTTTGAGGTGACTGTCAGTACCTGTAGAATAGGTGTGTGGGAGCAGGCGAAGGTGATGAGGAGAAACATATCCACCTGAAAGTTCTCACTTGTGATATAATCTACTGTGTAGGCCTCCCAGCACTTGAACGCCGGTCGTAACTCTCCATTGAGTGAATGTTAATTTATTTGTGTTACCTGTAGAACCCATTATTACCTTTAATGTTCTGGCGAGGATTAAGGTAAACCCTTAATTAAAAGAATACACTTTGTATTGATAATAAACAGTGGCTGTAACACACACAGGAACATGGGGAGCTTCAGCTGACCAGGAGAGGTGACTTAGGGCGTCATGACGTAGTGTGGTTCTGGAACATGGCTGAAGCAACAGTATACAGAACACATTAATAGAACAAAGTACAATTACGATCAAGATGCTTGTAGATAAGTAAATACAGATATTATTACATTACAGAAGAAGGATTACACACACACACACACACACAGTACATAACAACATTAACATGGCGCTGTAATTAGTAAGACACCTTTGATATAATTCCCGGAAACATCTCCTTCAGCCCTGTCACCCATCTCGCCAAGATCTCTCCCGGAAGCTCCTGAGAGAGAGAGTCCTCCCCCCAACTTCCCTCTCATCCTCAAAGACTTCTGGATAAAAGACTCTCCCTTAAGACTCATTCAAGAGGAGTCCTGAAGAATTTTTAGGGGGAGATGGTTGGCGAAGACTTGCCAAAGAATGTCCAAAGAGATATCTCAAAGACTTAACAAGAAGACTGCCAAATACTCACCAAAAAGACTCTGGGGAAATATTTTAAGAGGGCCGCCTAAGACTTACCAAAGATATATCTCAAAGACTACTTGGAGACAACATGCTAACTTTATCCCCTACACCTCCTCCTTATCCTCTACACCTCCTCCTCATCCTCTACACCTCTTCCTTATCCCCTACACCTCCTCCTTATCCTCTACACCTCCTCCTTATCTTCTGCACCTCCTCCTTATCTTCTGCACCTCCTCCTCATCCTCTACACCTCCTCCTTATCCTCTACACCTCCTCCTTATCCTCTACACCTCCTCCTCATCGTCTACACCTCCTCCTTATCCTCTACACCTCTTCCTTATCCTCTACACCTCTTCCTTATCACCCTATCCTCTTCATCTCCCCCTTTCTAACACCCAATCGCGTTAATCTTTCCCACATTTACAATTCTTTTCCATTTCCCTCTGTTATCGTTCTCTAGTACTTGTCTTCTTCCTTATTCTACCTCTTTTATCACCCCTTATTTGCCTTCTCTGTTTATTATCATTTGGACTTCCACTCATTTCCATTTTCTTTAATCCATCAGCCATTTGGATGGCCGTCTTTATTTTGTTCTGAGAGCCCTTAAGTTCCCCTTCCCTCTTCCCCCTTAAGTCCCTTCCTCTCTTCTCCCCCTTAAACCCCTTCCCCTCTTCTCCCCTTTAATCTTTTCCCCCTTCTGCCCCCTTCAACACCCCCTTTGTACCCTCCTTAAGCTATTCTCATCACACTTCTCACCCCTCTCCCTGTAGACCTCTCACTCCCCAGACACCTCTCCTCCCCTCCCTCCTCCCTCCCTCCCCTCCCCTCCGCCATCTCTCATTCCCTTCTTGCTTATCCCATCCTCCCCTTCCTTCTCTTCCTCTCTTGCTTCTCCTCCAGCCCCTTTTCTATTCTCTACTCCTTCTCTCCTCGCGCTTTTCTCGCTCTCCTCCCCTACCTTTCGCTTTCTCTCATCTCTCCCCCTTCCTCTGCTTTCTTCCCCTTATTTCCCTCCCCTCTCACTCACCCTCTTCCCAGCCCCTCCGCCTCCCCATAATCCTCTCCCCCCCCTTCCTCCCTTTTTTTTCCTTCCTCTCCTACCAATCCAACTCTATATTTTTCCTCCTTCCTCAGCCCCTTTCCCCTCTCTCCTCCCTGCTTCACCCCCTTCCTCCACTCCTTTTCCTTCTCCTCCTCCTCCTCTTCCTCCTCCTCCCTGTCCCCTCTCCCTCACCCTCCTCCACCCTCTCCCCTCCCTCCCCCACCTCTCCCTCCTCCTTCTCTGTCCCTCTCCTCACCCTCACCCCTCACCTCACCCTCTCCCCCCCTCACCCTCCCCCTCACCCCCCCCAAGACAAACGACCTAGGAGACACCATCCATCTTGCAGGCCGACACGGAGGAAATGGCACATTTGCAAGGCGTGGCACCCCTCGTCTCCTCCTCCCCCCTCCTCCCTCTCCTCCTCCTCCTCCTCTCCCTCCTCCTCCTCCTCCTCCCCCCCTCCTCCTCCTCCCCTCCTCTCTCCTCTTCCTGTCCTCCCTCCTCCTTCTACCTTCCCTTCCTGTTCTGTTGCTTCCTGTCCTTCCTCATCCTGCCCTCTTTTTTCCTACCACTTTTCCTCCTCCCCTTCCTGTCTTCTTCTTTCTTCTCCTCTCTCCTCCTTCTGCTCTCCTTTTTATTCTCTCCCTTCCCTTTTCTTCCCTTCTACCTCTCCCCCTCCTTCTCCTCTCTCCCTCTCCCCTCACTCGCTCCTTTATTCCTTCCTCTTCTTCGTCTTCATATCACATGTTTCTTTTGTGTCCTTATCACATATTCTATTTTCTTCCTCCTCTTTTTCTTTATTACATTTTTTCAAATCATCTTTTTTCTCTTCTTCCTAACATTGCTCCTTGTTCCTCTTCATATAAGAATTTCTTCTTCTTCCTCCTCTTCGTCGTCCTCCCAACTCTTCCTCTTCCTCCTCTTACTCTTCTTTCATCAATTACCCCAATTCTTCTTGTTTACATTTAATTCTCTTCTCTTGTGTTTAATTATTTCAACTTTATTTTCCACGTAAAACTTGAAGTCCAATTTTAATCCTCCAGCTTGTTAATTATTCCCGTTTTCTTTGCCTACGTGTAACTCTATTAACTTCCCGTTTTTTATGTCAGTTATTCCCGTTTTCTTTACGACATAAAAAACGGGAAGACAATGTGAGCAGGGTAGTTTGTAGCTCATGGACGCATTGCCTTAAAATTCTCTTAATAGTTAACAAAAAAGAACAAATTTTCTAAATACAAAAATTAACAAATTCTCTTAATATCTGACAAAAGAATAACGAATTCTTTGAATACTTAACCAAAAAAGAACAAATTCACTTAATACTTGACAAAAATGAACAAATTCTCTTATTACTTGACAGAAAATAACAAATTCTCTTAATACTTGACAAAAATGAACAAATTCTCTTATTACTTGACAGAAAATTGGTATATCAAAGTCCTCAGTTCAGTCCAATGATAGTCAAGACCCAATTAAGAATGACTAATGGGCGGCTAAGTTTCGTCCGTGTTTGGGATTACCTGAAGATTAGGCACCCTAGATTATTACACCTGAAGATTAATCACCTTTAATGTTAGGTTAAATAAAGTTAGGTTAAGTTAAGCTAGCGGTTAAATTAGGTTAGGTTAAGTAAGGTTAGGTTAAGTAAGGTTAAGTAAGGTTAGGTAAGATTAGGTTAAGTAAGGTCAGGTCAGATTAAGTATGATTAGGTTTGGTAAGGTTATGTTAAGTAAGGATAGGTTAGGTTAGGTTTGATTGATGCGTATTTTCTTGCTCTTTTGCCTTTATTTTTGGGGTAATTTCCATTTTAAGTTTAATGTCTGTTATATTTTACTTTCTCTTCTGTATCTTTATCATCCCCGTGGCATTATTATTCTCTCTGGTGATCAATTATACATTATACCGTACACTGGGGCTTCTCTCTCATCACAATTGGCTTTTAATTAACTCCTACAATCACCTCAGTAACTCACAATCACCAGCTCTACTTAAAACTCCTACTTTTCCCGCACTTATGTTTTACTTTCATCTAAGACCTGAATTAACTGTTTTAAGTGAAAAGTAATTTATATATTTTTTTTCGTGGATCTTTTTTTTTCTTTTCAAGGGGAAACTCAAAGAGAATTTATATTATGGCAGTTTAATATTGATGGTGTTGTTGTTGTTTTGTGTGTGTGTTGTTGTTGGTTTATAATGCGGGCTTTTAGTGGTTTAGAATCTTTGTTGTTGTGGTTTAGTTGTTATTTTGATATATTGTTTTTAAGGAATTTTATTTTGTATATACCAGAATGTGTATATAGGTGTTTATGTATAGTGTATATTTATATAACGCTCCTTTCAACTACGCGGGTATGTGTATAGCACTATATTCCTGCAATCTTCTTTCTCCCAGTGACCATACCTTCCTCCTTCTCTCTTTTCCTACTTTCCTCCTTCCATCTCTTTCTCTCTCCTTACCTCACCCTCCTTCCCTTTCTCTTCTCCTAGTCTCACCCTCCTTCCCTCCCTTCCTCCCTTCCTCCATCCCCTCTGACCTCCATCTTGCCCTTCCCTTCTCACCTCACCCTCCGTGTCTTTATCCCTTTCTCCTTTCCCTCTCTCCTTCCTCCTTCCTTTTCTCCTTCCCTCCCACTCTCCTTATTTTCTTCACCCTCCTTATGCCATCCTCCTTCCATCCATTTCTCCTTCCCTTCCTCGCCCGTATCTGTATCTCACCTTCCTTCTCTCCCTCCTTTTCGCCTTCCCTCCTTCCTTCTCCTTCCCCTTCTCCATCCCTCCCTCCCTCTCCTTTCCTTCCCTCCCCGTCGTCACGGGTGCCAGGATGACGTTGACCTCTTAATTTCCTTCCTCCTGAGGTCACGCCGCCTTGGGAGGTCACGGTGCCAGGGAAGATCACGGTGCCATGAGAAGACACGGTGCCATGGGAGGTCACGGTGCCATGAGAGGTCAGGGTGCCATGGGAGGTCACAGTGCTAGGGAAGAAGGTCACGGTGCCTTGGAAAATCAAGGTGGCATGGGAGGTAACGGTGCTAGGGAAGAAGCTCATTGTGCCATGGGAGGTAACGGTGCTAGGGAAGAAGCTCACGGTGCCATGGGAGGTCACGGTGCCATGGGAGGTCACGGTGCCATGGGAGGTCACGATGCCAGGGAAGGTCACGATGCCAGGGAAGGTCACGGTGCCATGGGAGGTCACGGTGCCATGGGAGGTCACGGTGCCATATCTCTATTACAGTATAGCATTGTCACCTACTGGCACTAAATTTGACCCTCAACAAGTGTTTAGTTGTGTGGGGTGAGTTGGTAGATAGATAGATAGATAAATAGAGAGAGAGTGAGAGAGAGAGAGAATAATCAACAATGAAAGCTGACGCGTGTGAGTGTTGGCATTTCCCCAGTCAACCGAGACCATTGTGTAGTGCCTTACACCACCACCACCCACGCCCATACTACACGCCCATCAATACCCATGTCCATACTCAGACCCACACACCACGACCACATGCCTACAAACCACGCCTACAAACCACGCCTACAAACAACACCCACACACTCCTACCTTCCACATTCACCTATGCTGCGCCCACACACCACGGCAACACGCCACGCCCACACGCTCATACACCACGACTACACATTTACACACTACGCTCACACACCACGCCCGCACACCACGCCCACACAACACCCCACAATACCACGATCACACACCACGCCCACATGCCCACTGAAGAGGAAATACCACCTCGATTTCACAGCATCGTGACAAGGTGTGACTAATTGGCGGTAAGTGTCTGTTAGTGGTGACGTAACCAGAGAGAGAGAGAGAGAGAGAGAGAGAGAGAGAGTAGTAGGTAGGTAGGTAGGTATAGTGGCACCACAGGAGAGGTGTTACAAGAAGGAGAGTGCCAGTGCCAAGGGAAGGTTCGAGCCAGGTCTAGGAGGAGACGGAGGAGTAGGAGATCGATGGCACTCCGGCCTCCTTTGAAAATCAATCGAGGATGAGCAGTAAACAGGACGACCGCACCACCATCACCACTTACTACTACTACTACTACTACTACTACTACTACGACTACGTTGCCTCCCACCTCACCTTAAAGCCACACCTTCACCCACCATTTTATTACTTAACTGTCGTAATACAAAAGTAGCTACCGCAGTTGAGTTAGTTGAGCTACAAATCTATGCGGCATTCAGTGACTGTTGCCTCATAGTCCATGTCTGCGACTGTCGTTGGCTTAGGGACCGATGATCTCGTTCCCCTGAGACACAACAGAACAGACCTGAGCAAAGAGAAGGATAGGAGACACCTCACCCAGGCCACAACGTATAGCTTCTGGGCTGCTGCTTCTGTTCTGATAACACCTCGGCCAGTCTTGCATAGAAACATCCTTCACAAGGTCCCATCCCGCCAGAGGTTGTGAACACCAGAGGAGTGAAGCTACCACAACCATTACGTCCACTACCACTTCACCACCTCTCATACCACTAAAACTATCATCACGACTTCCACCACTGCTACCACTACCAATATGACCACTACTACTAATACCATAACTGTGAAGAGCAGAAATTATGAAACTAGTAGATCTTGATAGATGGTAGAACCTGTCTATCTCCGTCTCTCTTACTGTATCTGTCTCTGCCTCTCTCTTACTTTCAATCTCTCTCACTGTCTCTCTCTTTCATTCTCTCTCACTGTCGCTCATACTATCAGTCTCTCTCACTCTGTCTCATACTAGCAGTCTCTCCTCTCTGTCTCTCACTGCTCTTACACATGGATAACATCAGAGGCGCTATAGTCTTCGTACTATACACAAGCGCCTCTACAAACAGAAGACGAGCGAACATTAGTCAGGCGTATCATCTATAAGCTTGCCTATGAGGGAAGGGCTGAGGTGATCGCCAGGCTCTATGCCAGGGTGAGTCCCCCACGAAAGACTAATACGAAAAGTGGAGGCTCATGGAATTGGAGGAGATATTCTAAAATGGATTAGGGCGTTGTTACAGGACAGGAAACAGCGAGTAAGCATTAACTGCACTAAATCCGATTGGGGTAACGTCACGAGTGGAGTACCCCAAGGCTCAGTACTTGGACCATTACTAGTTATTATATACATAAACGACATAGATATAGGCGTAGACAACAACATACGTAAATTTGCTGACGACAATAAAATAGGGCGTGTAATTAAATCTGACGAGGACGCGGCAAAACTGCAGGAAGATCTAAACAAATTTTTTGCATGATCTGAAAAATGGTGGATGAAATTTAATGTGGACAAATGCAAAGTACTTAGCCTAGGAGATGTAAACAGAGAAACCAGATATCAGATGAACAACTTTGTTATAGGGAAATCCGACTGTGAGAAAGACTTAGGAGTAATGATAACTAGGAATCTTAAACCAAGTCAACAATATGTATTTGCTGGAAACAAGGATAATAAAGTACTTGGGTTCATACAAAGGAGTGTTAATTACAAGACTAGCGAGGTTATCCTAAAACTATATCTTGCGCTTGTGAGACCTCACTTGGATTACGCGGTTCAGTTCTGGTCACCGTACTACAGAATGGATATCGAATCCCTAGAAAGAATTCAGAGGAGAATGGCAAGACTAATCCCGGGCATTAGGAACCTTGAGTACAGAGACAGGTTAGTTAGAGCATCTTAATTTGCACTCCCTCGAGAGACGTAGAGTGAGGGGCGATATGATAGGGGTGTATAGATGGAAGTCAAGGTAAACAAAGATGATATAACAAAGATACTCAAACTGTCCAACCAGGAGCGAACTCGTAGCAATGGTTTTAGACTAGACAAATTTAGATTTAGGCGCGAGATGGGTAAACATTGGTTTGGAAATAGGGTAGTGGATGAGTGGAACAAGTTACCAAACATCATCACTCGAACACGCTGGATAGCTTCAAACATAGGTTGGATGTATGTATGAGCGATAGGGGTTGGGTGTAAACGGGACTGCCTAGTATGGTCCAATAGGCCCACTGCAGTTTTCTCTGTTCTGTTCTTAAGGCTAATTCCAGGTGGTGTTGATTGCTTGTACTGGCGATACTCTAAAGGAGCGAATTTAAGCGTGTCATGGGGGTAAAGGGGAACGTTAGGAGATTTTGATTGCCCACACTGGCACTGTCCCACGACCCCAACAGCAAGAAGCGTGTTTCCGCCGGCCCTGTGTGTGTTGGTGATGGAACAGAGCCTCTTTGTTATGTGTCTTGTTCTCTCTTGTTCTCAGCTACGTCATAACCTCCACTAACAGATTCTCAAAGGACCATAGTGACTCTGAGCGAGAGGACGTGTTAAGTGTCTCACAGGGCCTTAGATCTGCCCGCCATCCTTTATCTCGTATCTTAAGTCAGCCTGCAGGACTATTATCTCACGACTTTTAAAGAATCAGGATCTTGTCTTTAAAGAACCACGCGTCATTAAATCTCCAGATAAAGGAATTAACTTATCTTCATCTCCTTCTCGTGTTCTCTTATATTTTGTATTACACTTTGAGAATCGCGTTGTTGTATATCCTTACTTACGAGAAAATATATTATCCCGCGAAAAAATATGTTTTCCTATGGAGAAAATCATTATCAATTGAGAATCGATTGCCACAAGTTACGACAACAATATTACCTTAGGAATCTTTGAGAATCCGCCTCTTGAATATCATTGATGAACCATTTATTACGAGAAAAAAATATTACCTTACCAGTTTTTGAGAATCCGCCTCCTGCCTGCCGCCAACAGTGCCACAAGTTACGACTCTGAGTGACACAGGTGGCGGTGTGGGCGGCGGCTACGTCACCCAACACCTCCCAATTTGTGGACAATAGCGGTCATTAGTTACTGGCGGGTGCAGGGGTCACCAGCTCGTCTTTCTTAGGAAGGGATGACCTGTGGGCCTGACCTCCACTGCCACAGGTCACACGAGGTCAGGTCACCGCCACTGTTTACTGTCAAGGCGAGAGTAAGTAATGGTGTGTGTGTGTGTGTGTGTGTGTGTGTGTGTGTGTGTGTGTGTGTTTGTGTTTTCAATGGTGATATTGTAAAAAAAGAAATTATTATAGTGATTTTTGGGGGAATATTTGTGCCTTTGATTAATCCGAATAACCTCACATGACCACAACCCAAGCTAACTTAATTTAACCTAACAAAACATAACCTAACCAAGCAAAACTAACCTAATCCAATCACTCAACCCAACCAACCCCAACCCTAAGCCAACACTAACTCAAACCAACCAAATTCAATCCAACCCAACCCAACCCAGCTCAACCGAACCCAACCCAACCCAGCTCAACCCAGGAATCAGTCAGAGGCGGTGCGCTTTGAGTGGGTCAGGGATGATACTGACCACAAGGGGGTCATCTTAGTCCTTCTGGGTGACCTCTGACCTCTCATTATGTCGCGGTAATTAAAGTGGAGGAAGGTCACGGGAGGTTATGGGAGAGATAGATGCTCTTGTTTGAGGTTAATTAGGGTGTAAGATAATAGTTTCCTTTACAGTTAATTATGCTTGAGGTCATTATACTTTAAGATCATTATATTTGAGGTCATTATATTAATAAGATCATTGTACTCGAGGTCATTATATTAATAAGAACATTATACTTTAAGATCATTATACTTGATGCCATAATACTTTAAAATCATTATACTTGAAGTCATTATAATTCAAGGTCATGATACTTTAAGTTTATTATACTATAAGATCATTATACTTGAGGTCATTATGCTTTAAGATCATTATACTAGAAGAGATTGTACTTTTAATATAAGAACATAAGAAAATAAAGAGTCTGCAATATGCCGGTTGGCCTGTGCATGGCAGCTCCTGTCGAAAGTTACTAACCGCTCTCTATCATCCATGAATCTATCTAGCCTCCTTTTAAAACTTTCCAGCGTTCCAGCACTTACTACAAAGTTGCTAAGCTTGTACCACTCATTATACTTTAGGTCATTATACTTTAAACATATTATACTTTAAGATCATTATACTTGACGCCATTATACTTTAAGATCATTATACTTGACGTCATTATACTTTAAGATCATTTCGATTGGGGAGATTAAATTTGTTCAAGTTCATTATACTGTTTAGGTTGATTTTCTGCTAATTATGCTCAGGTTATTATACTCTAAATATATATGTAACTTAATTATGCTGTCAGGTAATTATACTGTCACTTAATTATTTTGTCCACACTGGTATTTTGTCCAGAATATTCCTCGAGAAGCTTAATCGACCGTA